CGAATGTCTTCTAGGCTGCTAAAGGAGTAGAATGTCTAAGCTAGACAATTACGTAGTTGCTCCCTATAGCTCTGGCCTAGTTAACCCGAATACGATATATAAGCCTCGATCAAAGACGAAGAAGACGAAATCGAAGCTAACTCTAAAGAAGCCGACTACGAAGAAGAGAAAGAAGACTCCCGTATCCTTAAGCGAAGACGAGAGCTCAGATGATCCCGATAACCCTAGCGCTTAAACGGGTACTTAAACCGGTACTAGTAGCTAGATAGACGCCAACAATCAAGATCCTCCTAGTACCGATTAGAATAATAGCGATACCGGTAGCTAGATAGACGGGAACAATCAAGATCCTCCTAGCACCGATTAGGATAATAGCGACACCGGTAGCTAGATAGACGGGAATAATCAAGATCCTCCTAGCACCGATCAGGATAATAGCGACACCGGTAGCTAGACAGACGGGAACAATTAAGATCCTCCTAGCACCGATTAGGATAATGCAGATACTAGTAGCTAGACAGACGGGAACGATTAAGATCCTCCTAGCGCCGATTAGGATAATAGGGGTTTGAACGATTCAGACGGTAAGAAGCAGGCGACTATCGTAATTTCGAGCGGTAATAAGAGCTCGGAATACGATCCAGATACTAATCCTAGCGTTCAAACTAGTTATCCTCTAGCTAATAAGGAGAATGCTTAGGACGATAATACGGTACCCCTAACGATAGAGGATAAATATCTCTAGGCTCTCCTCGATTATATTAATGCCTAAGAAGAAGAAGACGAGGAGATAGCTTCCGAGAATTCAGATTTTCCTTTTAGGTAACTAGGTATACCGCTCAGTCAAGCAGATTTTTAGTATAGCGACGAGGATATAGGTACCTAGGATCAAGATATCTCGCTTAGCTAAGACTACAATCCTTTCGATTATCCAGATTTGGAGGAGACGGGTCCTAATTCTCTCTAGGAGAGTCGACCAGATATAGAGAGAGAGGATAAAGAAGAGGAGTCGCAGTAGGAGTTTAACGAGGAGATAACAGAATTAGAGGATATAGCAAGGGCAGCGTATACGGTAGCTATAGATTAAGCGAATAATCGGGGTACGTAAGAATTCGTAGCTAGGGGAAGTATCGACAAGATACTAAGTATACTTATAGAAGAGCCTATTACCGAACGAGACAGACTAGAGACAGAAATTTCAGCTCGCTTTATCCTTAGAGCTACTTGTTTAAGGACCCTATTATTAATAAGGACGGAGCCGGCTTTCTAAGCGGCCTAGCGAAGAATAGAGATGCGTAAGGCCTAGAGAGTAAGGCAGTAGCATATAGTAACCGAAAGTCGGTTTAAACACTAGATACGCGTTCTAGCTAGGCTAGAGAAGGAGATATTGAAGCATTCACTATAAGCCTAAGATCTGAAGTGATTTGGTTTTTCTAATTTTCGTAGTCGGTAGGTATAGTCGGCAGGTATTATTAGCTATAGAAGGAGATGTCGAAGTACTTACCGTAAACTCCTGAATTAATTTGCTTTTTCCTAATTCTCGTAGTCGGTAGGCATAGTCGGCAGCTATTGTTAGCGAGTTCAGGCAGTACGGTATATACGAGGCTTATTACTGTTCTAGAAGCGCTTACTATATTTATTCTATATCTAGAAGAGGTTTTACGTAATACCTATCGTAATACCTATTAGGTATACCTATTAGGTTTTTTCCGTTAGGTTGTACCTAGCTTATAAGCTGGGTACCTACCTTATTTGCGGGGTTGGGTATTAACGTTAGGTTGTACCCAACCTATACCTAACCTAACCTATAACGAGGCCTAGTTCTTCCGAAGTGTCTTATCCCTATAGCGGTTCTTTATAATGAATTCGGCGTATATACAAACTACTATAAGCTCTAATACGCGAGCCTTGTCCTATAGAAATAGTTTGCGCTTTACCCTCTTCTGCTCGCCGTTCGCCTAAGTCTTAGTAACCTCCTTAGTTGCCGAATTATTCTCTTCGTCCTCGCAATCACTCCTACTAAGAGCGTACTCTTCCGGCTTCTACGACCTATCTACCGGTTTATTATTACCCTATAATAGAGATCTATCTCTACTATCGTCGTAGTAAGTCTCCTCTAGGCTCGGGTTAAGAACGTATATTGTATAGAGGGTTTGCGACTAAGTAAAGGTATACGGCTAGGATTAACTAGAATTTCGGCGTAGAATGTTATTATTACTATCGACAGCCTTACGCTTGTTAGACTTCTTTGTAGCGCGTTTTATAGCGGCTTCCTTCTCGAGATTAGCGATATATTTAGAGCCTAGGGGCTATCTAGCGTTCGTATGTTTCTCTCTCGGTATAGTAGATAGTAGGCAATTAGCGAATATAGTTGCTTTACGGTACGCTAGAATACGCTTGATAAGTTCTCTATATTAACGTAATTGATATTATATATACGTTGCATTGCGTTACGCGCTTAGCGCGATAGTAATATAGTTGAAAAATACCTTTCTCGTATACGACGTAAAGTACGGCTTTCGACCTATACTAAGGTTACGTAGTATAATATATATAACTTAGCAACTATGTCTGTAATCTATTAAACATACGGCCAATAGTATCTATATACTATAGACTAATAGTCTATACTACAGTACGACTAGAATCGACGGTCAGTCTAGCTATAAGCTAGCGTAGTTAGTGCGGCAGCTGTAGAGAGAAATACTGAAAACTGTATAAGCAAAGTTGACCCCGGAGGCTATTGAACAGCCCCTTACCTAAGATACCTTGGCTTGCCTTTCTGGGGTCCACTCTTCTTTGGAAGGGGAGAGATGATCAAAGCTACTAGGTAGGTTTATAGAGGGATAGAAATAGGGAGAGAGAGACGGAGACAGAGCTTGACAGTTCAAGCAAGCAAGCGATTCGTAGCAGCCATCGCGTCCAGTTCCGCGGCAACTGCGGACTTTTTTTGGGGCTGGTTTGAAATTTCATCATGAATTAGATAGATCACTAGACATGTAAAAGGAGCAAAGCCGGAAATGATATACCATGTCAAGGTGGCTAGGTAGTTGTTCGTAATGCTCAATCTCCATCGGTTACCCGTCTACCATCATATCCTGACCAATCTCACTGCCTATTCTTCTTCTTCTCCTTCCTCGCCTATCATCAGCAACAGCAGCAGCATCGTTGCCGTTATCATAATCATCCTCTACAACCTCGCCAGCACCAAAAGCTGACGATCCCAGATTCCCATCTTCTTCACATCCTCTCCTCTCTCCAAGTCCCTCCTTCTCCCTCTTCATCGGCATCCTCCTCCTCCTCACCGGACTATCCAGCCTTCTCGAAGAAATCTGGCGAGCAAAAAATCTCGCTTGAGCAGCCTCGCCATCAAAGCCGCTGTTCTCGCGATATACGCTCGGTTTCATATATTCGAGATCATGAAGGATGGCAGTAGGTTCCAGAGCGGGGCTTTCTACGGGTGAGGCGTTAGATGTGAAAGCAGAGGTGTTGTTATTGATGGGCTCTGACATGTGAATTTCAGGGGTGTGGAGAGACTGCAGTATGGGTTCTTGGCGGATGTTGTTGTGATTGTCGATGTGTGGGACTGGGTGATGCTGCTGTTGCGTAGTGGGCGGTCCTAATTGTCGTATATGTTGTTGTTGTTGTTGCTGCTGTTGCTGCTGCTGCTGATATTCAGGTGATAGTATAAAGTTGGTCTCGCGGTTGAAGGCCACCCGGAGGCGCTGACTAGGGACGACAGGACTAGTAGTCTGTGGGTAGTTCGTGGTGGAGGGAGCACAATTCATGGTTACTGTTGTAAGGTATATGTGTTTTTCGGCTTGGGGGCGTGGTGCTTGTGAGTTGTACATGTATCTACAAAATGGGTGTTTCTGGAGAATGGCAGCAGAAGGTGGTCATTGTTGTTGCCTGTTTTATGTCAGGGAAGGCACCAAAGTTCGTTTCTGTTGAGCAAGTGCCATCCACATTATGATTGAGGAAGGAGCGTGAAGAAGATTGATGATCCCAGCTGGAGAGGTATAATCATTAACCTCGAAATATACTGTAATCATTCCAATGTGCTTCAGTCAACCAGTTCCTGGTTGTGACAGTCCTGCAATTGACAGCTTTGCGTCGTGACTGTGGCCTATGGGCATCTAGGCCTATGATGTCGCAATCATAGACTGAAGGCGAGCACTGCTCACGAGTTTCCAAGGCCTCTGCGCCTCTTCCATTGTCATCAGCTGCTTTTGTGTTAAGGGGAGGGATCCTAGCATATCGCTGCTCGGCAGCGTCACAAGATGAGAAGGCTCTTACAGCTACAGCTATCTCCTACAACTAGGAGGTTCAGTAGAACTGTAGAACTGTAGAACTGGCCTGCTACAGATGCACATGGCCCGTACACGACGGGAAGTGGTATCTCGACCACCACAGAGTCCCTGTACGGTCAGGTAGTTATGTATAGGTCCTCCTAGAGGCTAGAATGGATGTCGGATAGGATGCGAGGCGGGCTGGAGAGCGGATGCCTTGGGAACCCATCCCCATTTAGTACCTTACACTCTCTACGTTCCGGTCACGGGGCCCAGGAGTGGATGCCTGAGTAAGCTTGGCTTGGCTTGGCGTGGTTCCTCGAGGCTCACGGATGCATCGGCACAAGGGAGCACCCAAAGCCCGCGAGCCGTCAGATGTACATTTTAGTACACTGTACTGTCTGTGTACATGCCCTGCTTCGAGTAGTTCTAGAACTAGTGCATGTCTGCATGATGAGATGAGATGAGAACCTCGTCCGCGGCCGCTGCAACTCCCGACATGCGATGTCAGCGTCGTGTGAGTGAAGACGGGAGAGTCACGAGTGCTTTGTGTGCAGAACAGAGTTGACAGCGGCAGTGTTGGTGAATGGTCAAGCCATGGGCTGACAGCGACATGGAATCCTTTTGTGGTCCCGTAGTGCCAGTCTTTTCCAGGAAACCACTGGACATACCTCCTAGTGCGAGAGCGAGAGAATGAAACCCACAAAAAATGAAAACGAAAAAAAAAAGAAAAAAAAAAAAAAGAAAAAAAAAAAAGAGACCACACCATCTCTACCAGGACCGGGGCAGATGAAGGAATGCCTG